AGCTTACGCTAAATCCGCAGAATCTTCTGGCCTGACAAGATCTCCAACGCAGATCTGTTACGTAAATGTAAGCAAGAGGACATGACCTCCATAATAAAAAAGGAGAAGATGGAGATGGATTGGACATGTTTTGAGAAGAAAACCAGACTCTATTGTGAAGACTGCCCCCCCCCCCCCCCACTGGACACATGAAGGACGTTGCAAAAGTGGCAGACCCAAAGTAACCAGGAGACGCACAGTTAAGTCTGAAATGATGTCCTGGAATCATTGGTGGGGAACGCTGACCAAGATGGCCCAAAACAGACAGAGCTGGAGATCCTTTGTTGCTGCCCTAAACGCCAGATGGCGTAATGGGTAGTAAGTAAGAAAGTAAGTAATACACGAAGTAAAGGAGATGTTCCATAGGATGAAGGTCCCAAACCACACGAGAACAACCGCCAACCACCCTGAGAGAAAGAGTGAGAACTTAGAACTCTGCCAGTAGGTTTGCCAGGAGAGAGAGAGAGAGAGAGAGAGAGAGAGAGAGAGAGAGAGAAAGGAAAGAAAGAAAGAGGGGGTGAGAGAGGGAGACAGTGAGAGATGTGGAGAAGAGAAAAACGAGTGACTGTTAAAACTTTCTCACTTAAAGAGTTTTACGACACTTGCAACACAAACAAGACATTATGCGTGCCGAAGATTAGAGGTGTTACATAAGAAAAGAACAACATACTAAGAATAAAAGGCTGCGAGATTGGGTAGACATACATATTATGTTTGATAAGAAAGAATAAGCAAACCCCACCAGAGCACCCGCCAACCACCCTGAGAGAAAGAGTGACAACTCAGAAATCTGCCAGTAGGTTTTTTCTTGCAAACATCATCGCTTGGAACATACGCACCAGGTAACGATTGAGTGGTGAAGGGCAATTTTGTTTTTCTTTGGGTTTTTTTGTTTTGTTTTGTTTTTTGTTCTTTTTAAAATTTCGCCCTGAACGACAAAAATTACAGAGGAAATTATAGAAAAAGAACCACTCAAACAAAACAAACGAAACAAACAAGATGAAAATACGAAAGAAGCTGAAGAACAAACAAACAAAAAAATACTGCGCAAAATCTGTAGAAGAATCGTCGATGTCGGTCGGTTCTGCCCGTGCCAGCAATGAGCACCGAGGCAGGAAAGATGCCAAAAAGATAACATTGATGCTTCACGAGGCACAAAGGAATTTACTGGCTTGGCAGTACCACGGGCGGAAACTACACAGAAAGCCGATTACGTTTTTTTTCTTCTCTTTTGTGACCCTTATGTCGTGCCATAGAAAAGGAGTGTTAAGAGTACCAAGAGTATTAAAGGAGAGCTTGGGGGTACCTGAGTGTGATCTATGGCATGTTGCATGTCTCTTTATCTGGGCCTAGGGGAGATAGAAGGAGGGAGAGAGAGAGAGAGAGAGAGAGAGAGAGAGAGAGAGAGAGAGAGAGAGAGAGAGAGAGAGAGAGAGAGAGAGAAAGAGAGAGAGAGAGAGAGAGAGCAAAAGCCGGAAAGAGAGAGACACAGAGATTAAGTTTTGATAAAGAGAGAGAGATATACATGGAGAAATGGAGAGGGGAGGGGGGGGGGATAAAGAGAGAGATGGAGAAGGAGGAAGGGGGGGGGGGGCAGGGACAGAGAGCAATTGCAATTTAAGTTGATATCGACTCACTTTTTTACAGAGAGAAACAAACAAAAGAAACGAAAAACAAAATCAAAACACGCTTCTGCTATGATTACCCTTTTACCGCTGCTACTGCTGTTGAATAAAGGACAAGTAACCGACAGGGGAAAAAAGAAAAACAAAAATGGAAAGCAGTCTTCCATTGTCTTAGCTGGAACACAAACAAAGGCTTTATGTCACCCAAAGATGATCATAGCCAGCATAACATTGACAAAGCCGTGTCTGTATCTGTCGGCGCCGACAAAACACGTTCGATATCACACGATTTTCGCTAACTTGCTCACATATAACAAAATATATTTCGTGTTTAAGTTTAGTGCTTTATGCCATTAATGATACAATTCAAACCACTAGGGAGGTAGGCTTGAACTTTTTCTGTCAAGCCCAACCCGGGCTACGAGAGTGATATATAGTATAACATCATAACAGAATGACCTGATGCTTGATACATTCTCCCCATGTGGAATTCGAACACAGTTCTTCTGTGTGCAAGGCAAAAACGCCTAACCGCTACGCCACATAATAATATGCTAGCGACAAAATATAACAACACACATGCAGGGGCGAAGCGTCTATATAATCAAATAATCACTGCTTCCCTTCCTAATTTTGAAACATTGTCGCTGTCAAATTCATCCAAAAGGGTAAACCTCTTAAATCAAAAGTAAAAAGAGGTTCGTAATCCACAATGAGCATGCCTAACATTCAAAACGGTTTCACGGCCACATAAATAGCCTCCTCACCCCTCTCGGGCCACTCCATAATCAGCCGCAAGCTTTGATTAAGTAAGCTTAAAGTGAGGCTGAAAGAGTCTACCAATACAGTTGAGGGAACATGTGCATAGCAGTCATGGCTGTTTCATTGCCACAAATACCCTGCTCACCCCTTTGGGGCCACAGTTAAAATCAATCATAAGCCCTGATTAAGTAAGCTAACGAACACTGGTCGAGTCTACCTCACAAATGTGAGGGGAACGAACTCCTAACAATCTCTTTACTGCTGCATGTGCTTGTTTTTTTTCCTCGACTTTTTACTGTCCTATAATTAGATCGTGACCTCGATTATGACACCAGCTCCTGGCCGCGAAAGGCTAACAAAAACAGCCAAATGTGAAATTTAAAAAATGATAATTGTCATGTTCTACCAAAGAGTTAGACTCTCTGGTAGATGTATAACATATAGATCTAGTACTGACATCTCTGCTTCTTTGCTTTGTGTTTATGTATTCACATCTAAAGTTAATTTAATTTTAGTTGGAACTGATATTTAATAAGATACTTTCCCGATTATTTTGGCGGTTGAACATACAATATGAATTCCGGATTTGTTTTCATTTACAACTCAGTCAGAGTCGCCGCCTCGGGTATGATTCTTATGTGATATCTACAGGCCATATAGATCTATATCTGGTCCCGTTTCACTTTGATTACCCTGTCAAACAAGTCAGCCTTCGCCCCTGCACACATGAACAAAGATTTAAAATACGCAGGTACTCACAAGAGAAATCTAAATATAAAATTTTAATGTTAAAGATTCTTTAAAAGTGGACCGACGAGGTCTTTCAATGCTCTTACACTCGAACCGATACAATTTAGGTTACTTCACAGCGTCTGTCGCTGTGTGGGATTTAGAAGTTTTACGGTGCTCGCAACTGCATAATGTCATGTGAGCGCCAAGGGGTGAATGTCAACAGAGAAGTCCAAACCGGGAACTCAGACTAACTCAGCTCTCCTCTCCAGCCTCAACAGCACAAATTCTGCTTCTACTATCAAGGTACCCCGGAAATAGCAGTTCACAAGAGTGTGACAAACATACAAAAAAAGTAGAGGTATCATGATGATAGTAAGAATGGGGAAAGAAAAAGCAGCAGTTCCCCCTTTATTATTCAGGCACAGTATGGGCATTACATTGATAAATCAGCCAACTTACAATTCTACTGTGCAGAAGAACATGTTAACCCTTTTGGGTATGGCCTAAAAACAACTTCAGCCAGAAGAACTGTCCTGGTTTGGGGGTGGGGGAGGGGATTCAGAATCCATCCATCAGAAATGTGGAAATGTGGAAATACTCGATGAGATAGATTTACTCTCGCGGGAACCCGAGCTCACATCTTAACTCTTTGAAGACGTAGCGGCAACATACGTCCGATTAGCAGCAGAGCAAAGACAATATTTCGGTACATTTCGAACAATCATACACATATCAGAATCACGAGTTTTCATATTTCATGGCATGCATATTGATACATGCCTTTTAACATTTCAAATAGAGAAAACAGCCAAAAAAATATGTTTCAATGATAAAGTTACGCCCCAAAACAGCACATCTTCATACATTGTCGAATGACCAGAATGCGCGTCTTCATTGAGTTAAGCTATAGTTTGAACAAAGATTAGCAATTAAGCAAGATAACAGCTATTATATAAACATGTATATATATATATATATATATATATATATATATATATATATATATATATATATATATATATTTTTTTTTTTTTTTTTTTTTTTTTATATATATAAAAGTAGGACCTCTCATGGGCGCCCTCCAGCCACCCTCCATCTGTAATGTGCAATGTGTACGAGCCTCACCATTACGCCACTCACACACCGATTTAATACATTGCACATGTTCCAGCTCAACGGTTAACTCTGAGCGCTCTACGATCTATATTATTCTCCAAGTAAACTCGAAAACAATCTTCCGGAAACATTCTCGGCTTACCGGTAAGTATACAAAACAAGAAGCCCATTTATAGCTAAAACACAAACAGACACACAATGTATTTCGCTGTCTAAAGCTGGTTACCCATTCCCTCTAGGATGAAGTGAGCAGCATTCATGTAAAGTGCTTTACCCAAGGAAACTTAACAAGCAGTTAAATCTTTCATTTTAGCAGGAGTTCTACGCACTTGAAAGACAATTAGGTCATGTGCCAAAGAATAGAGGTTCTACGAGAGAGTTTGTTTGAGTAAGGAGAAGGAAAAGAACATTGACGCAATAATGGTCATTTAGTGCTGGGAAAAAGTAAGGCAGACAGAAACAACAGAGAGAAAGTAAAGAAAAAGGACTTACAAGTGGCGCTCTCCGACCACCGGCTAATAGAGAGTAACATACAAAGTAAAGAAGGAGGAGAAATAAGGACGCTAGATGTTTAATAGGAAAGAACGACCTAGCCACACCACAGCACACACCAACCATCCACAAACACAAACCAACCAACAAACCAACCAAGCAACCAAGCAACCATTAAAAAAACCAACAAACCAACCAACAAACAAACAAACAAATAGACAGAGCTGTAACTCACCAACTCGTTCTTGAGCCAAGACAGAGACGAGTCGATCCTCTCTTTCCGCTCCTTCCACGATGACCCGTTCTTGGACTCCCCGACTCGCGGCTCTTTCACACCGTCCGCGTAATGAGAAAGCTTCCCGCCTTTGTGAATCTTGCCAGTCCTCACATCCAACACCGGAACCAGGTACTCCTCGTCTGCCCCTTCCACAATTCTCTCCCCGATCGGAGAGGTCGTATTTTCCGACGACCCGGATGTGGTCGTTTTCGTTTCCGCTTTCAAGTCTATCGGAGAATCCCCGAACATTTTGAGTGCGTCGTTTATAAGCTCGTCAGAATGTTTCAAAATAAGCTCGGCGTGTTTTAGTTTCGTTTTCTCGTCGTCAAATTTGAAACCGTCTCTGAGAAGATTAACATTTTCGTAAATTCTATCGATCGATGCAGGTTCTTTCAATCTTGCTTTGCCGTTCTTGTCCTGAGAATTTGATACATCCTTTAGGGTACCGTCGTTGGAGTTCGTTTTGAAACTAGCCGTGCACGAGTCTACGTGCTTTACGGGGATTTCCGTTCTGTCCGGAAGGCGCGGAGCCGCCATCTTAGCGGAGTGCGTGACGGGAATTTCCGATTTTCCTGTAGAGTCAGTTTTGTTAGTAGATGCTGCGAAAGGCTTAGCCGGGACCAGGGGCTTTTGGGACTGAAGTCTTGGCGAAGCTGTGGACGTCGAGGTGTTGTTGTCGGCCATTTTGTTATTGGCACCGTTGTTTGTGGCGGAGTTCTTGGATGGGCCATTGGAGGTGGTTGAAATAAACAAGCTCCTGGGCGCGATTTGTGGCTTCGGACGCGTTATTGCTGGTTTCTGTCGCGGCTGCTGTTGCTGTTGCTGTTGCTGTTGTTTTTGTACATTTGATGCAGTTTGATTGCTGTTCAGTTGGGATTGAGTATGTCGAGTGACAGGCACGACTGTCTGGGCACTGAGAGAGGTGGGCTGCACGGCTCTGACGCTCAACTTCGGCGGAGCTGCGACCTTGAGAGGTCGCGTCAAGGCGATGCAACCTTGACCTTGGCCTTGCCTCACGTTCCCCAGACGACCTTGACCCTGCATTCTCTGCTGTGAGGCGTCGGCTGTGGCTGACGGGGTAGAGCCGCGGGTTGGGGGATTCCCCACGTGTAGCCGGAGGGTGGAGCCAGGGGGCGGGGCCTTGTTAGAGGAGGAGGCGGAGCTTGATGACGTAGACGGACCCGTGACGCCGGTGTGAGGTCGGTGGGATATCGAAATAGACGATGATGGTGTCGGCAAGGAAGGATGGTGATGCGGAGAGCTGCCAGAGGAGGGGGAGGAGGAAATTGTGATCGTTCTGCTGTTGTTGCTGGTGCTGCTGTTGTTGTTGCTGTTGTTGCTGTTGTTGTCGTCGCTGTCGCCGCAGAAAGACAGCCTGACCCTCCCAGGGGTGGCGATAACTTTCACAGCCGGCGCCACCTGTATAGAACTGTTCGCCTCCACGAAATGTTTCCCATTGACGGCGGTTGACGACGACGACGATGATGGTAACGACGAAGAAGAGGAGGAGGAGGAGGCGTCAGACGAGCAGGTCCTCACCCCTGACGTGGCGGTATCACCAGCACGTGACGTAGCCGCGCATGACGAGATGGACAGTGACGTCAGCGGACTGGCCGCGGACATAAACGAAGCCGGGGCCGATATAGGGATCACTCGACTCGGGGAGACTGTCAGCGGGCTCGAACTGATACCCTTCGACGTCGGCTGTAGCTGTTGTTTTGCCTGTTGTTGTTGCTGCTGTTGCTGTAGTAATGACGTGTTGGTATCCGTGTTGTATCCGCTACTGGATGCCACGCTCGAATCTCGAGTTTTCCTCCCCAAAGACGAGCAGTCCTCAGCGCCTGACGCATGCTCGTGGCCGTACGAAGTGGAGAGAAAATTTTTCCCTCTGTAGCGAGAGAGTGAGTCGAAGCCGGCGTCTGCCTGGATTCCGCTGTCGGTGCTAGGTAGACGCGCGTGCATTCCACGCAGATGTGTGGAGGTCGAGGAGGAGGAAGGGGAGGAGGAGGAAGAAGAAAGAGAGGGAGAAGTATGAGGGAACACGGGGGAGGAGGAGGAAGAAAAAGGGGAGAAGGAAGAGGGGGAGGGAGAGGGGGAGAGGGAGGTAGAGGAGGTGGCGAAAGTGTCAGACGTATTGAGGAGCGGGGAGGCGGGGGGAGGAACGTTCACATCTGCGAGAGTTTCGTCCGTTGTACCTGAGCCTGTGCGCTGATGTACCCGAGACGGTGACTTGTTGAACGCGAAACCAGAGAAACTTGTTGGTCCGTTTGTGAGATTCCCCGTGGAAAGTCGGTCTGTCTTCCCCAACACTTCTCTCCCCTGCTGTGACGGAGCAGAAATGGAGGCTTTCCCGGCACTTGTCCCACCGCGTGATGTCAGAGGTTTTTGTGGTATTGTCAGCGGTTGTTGTTTTCCAGGCGGTGTTTTCGACAGACGAAGAAAGTGGTTAGTGGTGGAGGAGGAGGAAGAGGAGGAAGATAATGAGGAGGAACCACCACCACCACTACCACTCACTGACTTGACAGTGTTGCTTGATGACCCTCCAGTGGTCAGTTTGCTGGACGCACCAGGCGAGGGCTGGGAAGTACCGCCATGTCTAGAGAGGCGGTTCTGGGCTGGGACAGAAATCTCGTGCACAACGGGAATTTCCATAACTTGTCCTCCTCACACTGCCACTCCCTTCTCTCTCTGTGTGTTTCTCAGTTACTGAAAGGTCTAACAGTAACACCAACACAGACTTTCGTGTCCTCACGAAAGGATTTCTTCTTTAGAATTCTTTTCATTTCGTCAGACAGAGCTGACACAATTCAACGTTGTCCTAATCTTCACTACAGTCATCTATTTTCTCTCCTTTCTGTTCTTGTTGTTGTTGGGTTTTTAAAAATTCAAATTGAAGCGCAATGCTCTAAAGTTGCAAAAAAGACTTATTTTTGTCAAACTCTAGCAACTCCCACTCATATTTCTTCAAGCTGAGGTGACAAAGTTCCAACGTTTTGTGTGTCTCTTTGTTTGTTTGCTTTTTTAAAGACTTATATCACACTCTTGAAACTGCTCTTTATTCTTTTGGTGATGCAGAGACGTAGGAAAAGTCGCACAAATACCGTGATCAGAGAATGCGCTCTGAGGTGACCGAGTCAAAACTCGTGGGGCCGTGTGGGGGTCGTGTGGTACCGCCGAGGTCAACGTACCAACCAACCAACAAACCAGCTCACGACCATAGAATTCAGCAGGTTCGCCTGGCACTCCCTTGTGGCGCGAAAAAAAGAAGGAAAAAAACCCCCAACACCCTGGACGTCAGATCATCAGCAGACGTGCGTGCGCGGGAGTAGCAGCCGTGAGATGAGTCGTTGTTCACGCTCACACTTCTCGTCTGTTTCTCTTTGAGTCCCGCTCGTCAGCTGGTACAGGTACGGGTCGTCTGCCACTGGCACGGGGGGAGGTGATCTGGAGAACGAGGGGAGAACAAAAGGGATGTGTCAGAGTGGGAGGTGGGTACGTACGTAGGTAGGACGGAAAGAAAAAACAAACAAGAACAACAACATAAAAAATACGAAAGGTGTGTGTGTGTGTGTGTGTGTGTGTGTGTGTGTGTGAGAGAGAGAGAGAGAGAGAGAGAGAGAGAGAGAGAGAGAGAGAGA